TTGATATGTTGTGTCATAATTTTTACTCACTTATATGTATTATTAAAGTTCTTTTGAGACTTTCTTTTTGACCTCAGGATTTTTAAAAATGTGTTGCTTCATTTCTATTATTTGGAAACATTTCTTTTATCTTTTGGTTATAATTTTAGTTTCATATAGTCAGAAAATATATTCCATATCATTTTTTTAATTTTAAGGTTTATTTCATAGCTCAGGATATAGTTTATCTTGGTGAATGCTCCTTGAGTGCTTGAGAAACACCCATTCTGCTCTTGTTAGGTGAATTGTTCTGTCCATCTTAATTAAGTCCTGTTGCTCAAATGTGTTCAGTTTGTCCACCTGTTTTCTGATTTTCTATCTGGTAGTTCTGTCAGCTGCTGAGAGTGATATGTTGAAGTCTCCAATCATTGGTTACAAATTCTCTTTTCCCCTCAGAAATTTTATTTCCACTTAGGGTTCTTTACACTCTCACTTTTAAAATATGATTTTAAGAAGTATTTTCTCTATATACATTGAACAATATATCAAAAGGTGTTATTATTATTATCTCAAACATCAAATATAATTTATAAACCTAATCACAAGAAGGGACAGTATATTATATTTACCCCTATCCATTTCACTGCTCTTCTATTCTTTTGGAAGTTCTAAGCCTTCTTCCATTATCATTTCCTTTTTTCTCTAGAGAACTTTCTTTGACTACTTTGTGTGTGTATGTGTGTGTGTGTGTGTGTGTGTGTGTGTGTGGTGCTGGAACTCAGGGCCTCTCTTGTGCTAAGTAATCATTCTACCACAGAGCTACATGCTTTGCTCCATTAGCTACATTTTTAAGGACAGATTTGCCAGCAACAAATTCTCTTTGCAATCCTTAATCTGACAATGTCTTTATCTCTTCTTCAATCTTGAAATATATATTCACCATACAGAATTTTTCACTGATGGTTCTTTTTTTTTTTTTTTTTTTTTCTGGCCTCCATGGTTTTATATGAGAAATCTGCTGCCACTTGAATTGGTGTCCCCTATAATGCATCATTTCTTTTTAATCTATTTTTGGATAGAAACTCAAACTTTAGTTTGAGTTTAAATGAGTTTAATTATGACATGTCTTGGGGTGAATTTCTTAGGTTTGATCTTTTTGGAGTCCATTTATTGCTTGGTTCTGCAGTTGTATATATTTCAACAAATTTGGGATGTTTTAGGGCTTTATTTCCTTGAGTTCTTGTTCATCCTTAGTCCTTCTTTCCTCTCTGAGATTGATGCTACAAACACTAGTTCTCTTTTTTATTGGTGCATTATTCTTATCCATAACAGTGTGATTCATACATGCACATAACTCAATCAATCTCCTTACCCAGTGACTTCCCTTTCCCATCCCTCTTTCCTCCTCCAGATCTGCTTCCTATACTCTACTGATTTCTCTTCTATTATTTTAGGTAGTGTATATTTATATATGAATCCATTATAGTATGCTCATACACAGATATAGCATCATTTGGAAGTTTCATTCCCCAATACTCCTCCATCCTCCTTCTTTTTTAAAAAAAATAACTTTATTTTTATTTGTTTATCTTTATGTGGTGCTAAGGATCAAACCCAGAGCCTCACGCTCTATCACTGAGCTAATCCAGCCCCTCCTCCCTCCTTCTTGATCCTCTTCCTTTACTTTATTGATTTCTCTTCTATTTTCATGAGATTCCCGTTTTAAAATTCTCTCTCTCTCTCTTCCTCTTTCTCTCCAGTTTCCACATATGAAACAAAATATTTGACTTTTGACTTTCTGAAGCTAGCTTATTTCACTTAGTTTGATGTTTTCTAGTTCCATCTATTTACCAGAAAATGACGAATTTCATTCCTCTTTATGGTTGAATAAAACTTCATTGTACATATACACTATATTTTCTTTGTCCACTTGTCTGTGGACCGGCATCGAGGCTGGTTCCATAACTTGACTATTGCATTACTATAAACCCTATATGCATGTATCATTATAGTGTGCTTATTTTAGTTCTTTTGGATAAATACCAAGGAGTGGGAGAGCTGGTGGAATGGCATAAAATCAAAAGGCTTCTGCAACACAAAGAAAACAACTAAGAGTGTGGAAAAGAGCCTAGAGAATAGGAGAAAGTTTTGTCAGCTACTCTTCTGACAGAGGATTGATATTCAGAATATATAAAGAACTCAAAGACTTTAACAACAAATAAACAAAAAACACAGAAAATCCAATCACTAATTGGTTAAAATATTTAAACAGACATTTCTGAAAAGAAGAAATTCAAATGGCCAACAAATAAATGAAAAAAAAAAGTTTAACATCTTTACCAATCAGGGAAGTGCAAATTGAAACTATACTGAGATTTTATCTCACTCCAGTCAGAATGATGATCATGAAGAATACAAATAATAATAAATGTTGGTGAGGATATGGGGGAAAAAGGTACACTTAAACATTGCTGGTGGGACTGCAAATTGGTACAATTGCTTTGGAAAGCAGTATGGAGATACCTCAGAAAACTGAGAATGGAACTACCAAATGCTAGTTCTTTTGCTATTGTTATACAGGTCCCTAAGATCCTGTTCATTTCTAAATTCTCTGTTATTTGGATTGGGTAAATTCTATTGATCTTCCCTCAAGTTCATGGATTCCATTCTGTTTTCTCCACTCTATTTCTGGGGTCATTCTGCAAACTTATTATTTCAGTTATTTTATTTTTCAATTCTATAATTTGTATTAGGCCCCCTTTTCAACTATCCTGTTTTTCTGTTGATATTTTTCTGTTGTTTCTATTTGTTTCAGATGCATATATTATTATCACCTGAGCACTTCTATCATGGGAACTTTAAAATTCTTGTCATATAATTCAAGATCTGATTTTTTCTCCATGTCAGTATCTGTTGGTTTTCTCATTTAAGTTGTAAATTTCCTGATTATTTGTAATGACAGGTGAGTTTTTAAAATTGCATCAGGCTCTTTGCATATTGCATTATGAGATTCTATTCAATCTTGGGTTAGTAGAATGTCCATCTTTCTACTGGGTCTCTCCAACAGCGCCCTGGCAAAAGCAGAGCAAAAACTCGCCCTGTCTGCATGTGGCCGACAATTCAGCCCACACTTGGCCCTGATGATACAGGTGAGTGGGAGGGAGGAGTCAGAATGCCAGTTACTGCCATCTCCCACCACCCCATTATGCCTTGTTAAGGCTGGGTGAGGAGAGAGGCTTCTGCTGAAGCCCGGAGGGAAAAGCAAATCACTTCATTCTATTGATGTCAAGTGAGATTGTGGTTCAGCTTCTCATGTGACCCCTTTGGAGCCTGGGAAGGATGAGAGGGAAGAGATGACAATGTCCACCAACTCTGATCACACTACCTTGTTTGGATTCTTATTGCTGCATTGTATGGGGTGTCAGCTCCTTGGTGGGCCAACTACCACCAGGGAGGGGGAGAATATAAACTGTCAACTACCCCCTACTTACTCCTGGTTCAGTCTAAGATGTCAGGTGGAGGTTGGGACTCTGCTCCCCACTGGACTCTGCCTGACACCAGGGTGGGCAGTTGAAGCATAATGGTGACTAGTTCCACCTTATATCACCTGAATGGTGGATGTAGAAACTTGGTTCACCAGAAAGTCCTGCTGACACTCCATGATCAGAGAGGCTGAGCATTTCCTGCTGCCACCAGGAGCAAGAGGGAAGATTAGCTCCCTACTCAGACCCACCAACACCACTGGGTGGAGAAACAGGATTGCTACTACCTGGTTCTGCTGACTTTGTTGGGTCAGGGATGAGACAGAAGATCAGCTCCCAGCTGAACCTGCTGAAATTGTTGGAAGGGTAGGATTGGGAAAGTAGTTACGTTTTTTCTTCTATCTAACTGATGCCCAGTGGATAATGCCAACATGATTTTCTGGTAGGCCTCCATCTTCCTGGTCCTTCAGCTAGGGGGAGCAGGCTTTCTCTTGGAGTATATTTTGTTGGCATTTGTTAAAAATCCAGGAGATATGTACCCTGACTGGGATATATGGGAGGCAACAAGGAAACCCAAATCAATTATTATCTCTCCATTCCTCAGATTCTGAAGTATCCTGGAACCTGCTGTCTCCCTTTCCCCTTTCAGTCTCCCTGCTGGTTTGCTGTTTTACGTGCAGGTCTTCTTATGGTTGAGAGGGAAGATGTGAGGAATGGGGCTAGTCCATCTTGGTAGACTAGAAGTCCCCATTCTTCTTGTTTAAAAACACAAAGTTTTGATCACATTCCATGTACTATTTTATATCATTTTATGTACCATAAGTTTTTAATTTCTGTTACAAACAGTCCAATTTTAAAGGCTATAGAACTCCCCACTGAGTGGTCAGAACATGATTTATAAAATCACTTTGCTATTGTTGAAAATTTGGATTCTAGCATTATTGCTGTCATAAATAATGTACTGGTGAGAATGTACCTAAAATCTTGCTGTATTTAGGATTATTACTTTAGGGTGGAGTCCCAGGAGTAAAATTATACCCAGCCCAATAGCAACATGCAAGGAGACCCCCCTGTGCCCTCACCAACAATGGGGCTTCAATATGCTTTTGAGGATGAGTCAATATGATAGAGGAAAGAAAACAGTGTTGCAATTTTTCCTAAGATACATTTCTTTCATCACTAGTGAGGTTGTCCAGTCCCCTCCTTTTGCAATTTGATATCTTATGTCCTTTTCCTGTTCTTCTGTGAGGGCTTCCATATTCTTTTGGAAGAGCCTTCTTAGTAAAAAAATCTGACTTAATACATACGAGTAGTTCTCTGAAACCAAAAAATATAATTCAATATTGAAGATAAGCTGAGAGCAATGATCTAATCCACTGTTCAGCTACTGCAAACATGAAGTACCTAACAGGAAAACACCTGCCAATAAATAAAGACATCAGATGAAGATAAAACATGTGAAGCACTACAGATTGCTGGATAACTCTTGATCTTCAAAATTATGCTGTTTAAAATGAATAAACATTTCCTGAACCTTACCTGAAGCATGACAACATTGTCACCTTCGAAAGTTACAAACACATCTGCATCACACTTCAAGTCTGAGATTCGGTTTTCCATCATGTAGCCCTATTGCAAAAGAAATAAAGAAAATAAGAAACACATTTTAAATTTGCAATCCCATCATTATACAGGATTAACACTTTCTTTGATATTAAAAAACGCAGAAAATTAATTTTTCTATATTTTTATTGGTGCATTATAGTTTTACATAACAGTGGGATTCATTGTCACACATTTGCACACGCACACAATATAACAACATGATTTGACCAACATCATCCCCAGCATTTTCTCCCTCTCTCCCTCCCCTCTTGCCTCCCCCTTGTCCCCTTCCTCCACTCTACTGATCTCCTTTGGGGGGAAAAAATGCAGAAAGTTGAAAGTAATAAAATAGCCATATTTTTTTAAATTTTTTAATTTTTTTTATTGGTTGTTCAAAACATTACAAAGCTCTTGACATATCATATTTCATATATTAGATTCAAGTGGGTTATGAACTCCCATTTTTACCCCAAATACAGATTGCAGAATCACATCGGTTACACATTCACATTTTTACATAATGCCATATTAGTAACTGTTGTATTCTGCTACCTTTCCATATTTTCTAATCATTATAACCACTGTAAGAATTTTGATCCATCACATTAGCTTTTGATTCACAAATACCATTTTGCATATTGTCTTCATCTATAGTAAAAAACATGTCAAAATTATCATGTCATATTTTCCCAAAAAATCTCAATAAGATATATTGATATTACTCTCTCTTCCAAATATTATGAATTCTAATACATAGCAAGGTATCAGTGATTATACCCTACCATATACAGGCAAATAGCACCCCCCACATGCGACTTTATACAACTTTCTAAAAGTTGGCAAATAGACCTATAAAAATTCTTGGGAGGCAACTTAAGAATCTTAAATTGCCACTCTGCATGGTGACATCATTAAACTATTCTGCACCATAAATGTGCCCTGTGGCTAGTTGTTCTTTTTTAACTTCCCAAGATCCTGACTGCAATGGCAGCAGCCCACTGCTCATTTTCAAAGTGTTGAGTGTTTCCTCACATAAAGAACTGGCCACTCAAGAGAACATAGGGTTAGGCCCAGGTGAACAGTGAAGGAAGCCAAGCTTGCCTCTGGCCACCCCCTCCACATCCTCCCCACTCTCCTTTAGCTCAGTGTTCTTCCCACAAAATCTCCAGTCTTGCCTGATGTCCAAATCTGCTTCCATAAAACACTGTCAGTCAGATCAGCAGTGACTGTCCCGTTACTTCTCCCAGGAGCATCTATCTGCAGGTAGCACAGTGGCTCTGAATAGAGAATGTCAAATTTCAGTCCTTTTAAAATTGTCCAGCCACAGAGGATACAGAAAGTCACAGAAGGGTGCTCACAGGGCAGTTCATATATCTGAACCTCCAGGGACCTACTGCCCAGGGGAACCTGCTTTGTTGCTAAAAATGGGCACAGCAGTCATGGAAGCCTGGACTTCTGGAGTCCTGCTGCCCTCAGAGCCCTGAAAATCTGTGAGGATCAGCCCTGCTCCCTGCCAGGAAGAAACCCTCTAAGGCCTGGCCCACCTTCCTTTGTGTCCCTCAGTATCACAACTGGACAGTGTTAAGCACCTGTAGTGACAGAGCAAAGGAGTCTTCAGAAGTCCACCAGAATTCTTAATTGCTTTCATGAGGTTAAGCTGATTCTATAAATAATCAGTAAGACTCCAACCTGGAGAAGCTCTACCTCCCTCTCCCTACCTTCCTTCCACAACCAAGGGCTCCTCTCCTCATCAGGAAACCACAAGAAATCAGGTTCCAACTGCACATACTCCTGCCTCCTGTGCCCACCCCAAAGCCAGAGTCCCCTCACATCCCACTGCAGGGTGGGGGACTCATTCACTTCACCTCCTCCTCTCCATCCTCAAAGCAGCCCTGTGAAAGGGATGTCACCCCCAGTTTACAGATGGAGAAAGTAAGGTTCAGAAGAGGTGCTGGAATGTTCTAGAATCATCTTTCTAGTTCCGATGTGGAAAAAAGAGGAACACTAAGTCCAACAGCTCAGTGCTGAGAAGTGGTAGTTACACTAAGAATCACAGCTGCTAACACTCCACATCATAATGTTGAAGAAACCATGCATGTTGCTCCTCTGTCGCCCATGCAGGAAAGGGCAGCAGGTTCTTCTGGTTATTATCTGTCACTGCCCAGGAAACCAGGTGACCAGGGTTTCAAAATGACTGGAGGAACACTCTAGTCAAAGGACGGCAGAACGAGCCCCCACCAATAGGCTGTCAGAGGATGAGCCCTGGCAGCCTGGGGCACAGTTTGTCTCCTACCAGGTCTTCAATGCCACATAGTTTATTTTTCCCCCACAGCAGAACTCCACAGTGAAACCCTTGACTAGTTCAAAGGTCAAGAAAGACTGGGGGAAGATTCTGGACTCTGTGGCTCTTGGGAGCTGAGGCAACAGGATGAAGACCCTCAGAGAGCTTTCAGGCAAATGGAAATGAAATAGCAGAGAAAACCAAACTCCCATATGTGTGAGGCAGCAGTGGCAGTGGGTGGCATGTGGCTTCAATCTCCCGAAATTGCCAAGGGTGGGTTTACCATCTAATTTCCTTAAAATAGGCCCAGAAAGCCAGACATGGTGGTGCATGCCTTCATCCCAGCATCTCAGAGTGCTAAGGCAGGAGGATTGCAAGTTCAAAGCCAGCCTCAGCAACTTAGGGAGGCCCTCAGCATCTTGGTGAGAGCTAATAGAAATCAAAAATAAAAAGGACTAGGGAGGTGGCTCAGTCGTTAATAATCCCTGGGTCCAATCCTGGGTATTTCCCTCTCCCCAAAAAAGAAGAGGCCCAGAAGGCCCAACCTCACTAAAATCTAAATCCTGGGACACCTGCGGTGACTCCTTTAGAAACTAACCAGGCTCAGAAAGTCCAGGACTCTGTGGTTTGGGTGAGTGTGTGTATGAATTTAGAGGAAGCTCAAGGCTGTGAGAAGCTCCTGAATGGGGACTTGTAGCCTTCTTTCCGAGGGACTTCAATTCTAATTCTGAGCCTCACATTCTTTCGGGACAAATGACTATAAAAAGTGTGTGTGTGTGTGTGTGCGTGTGTGTGTAAATCTGTCATTTGGGGTAGGTACTAGGGATTAAACCCAGAGGCACTGAACCAAATCCCCAGCCCTTTTTATTTTTTGATTTGAGACAGGGTCTTGCTATATTGCTTAGGGCCTCACTAAGTTGCTGAGGCTACCCTTGAACGTGTGATCCTCCTGCCTCAGCCTCCTGAATTGCTGGGATTATAGGTATGGGCCACCACGCCAGGCTGTCATTTTTTTTAATTAAACAAGAAGTTTTTTAAAAAATTATTATTTCTAAAATAACAATACATAAGCAGTGTCAAAAAAATCCCATAAAACAAAAACAAAAGGAAAATAAAGATAATAAGTCAGCATCCAACCTCACAATGTAGAGGTAAATGATTGCCTAAGAAAGAATAACCCCAACAAAAGGGCTTAGGTTAGAAATTGGAAGCACAAGATGGAGACAGGAGTTGGCAGGGCTGAGGAGGAAGAAGGGGATAGACCAGAAACAATTGAGCAGTTCTGAGTGGAAGGGAGCCATAGACTGTTCCAGGAGGAGGAGGGACATGACAAAGCACAGGAGATACAGTCAGAGGAGACCTCCACAAGAGTTTACAAACCAGCACCGCAGAACGAGCCCAGAGAAGGGACAGCCTGGCAGGCCATTGTGGATCAAAATATTAATGTATTTCCCATTTTCTTCTTGTAGCTTTATGGTTTGGGGTCTCATATTTAAGTGTTTAATCAATTATAACCAATTTTTACATGGTGAGAGATAAGGGTCTAATTTTATTGTTCTGAATGTGAACACTCAGCTTTCCCACTACCATTTATTGAGTAGATTGTGTTTTCTCAAATGTGTGTTTTTGGCACCTTTGTTGAAAATCAGTTGGCTGTAAGTATGTGGATTTACTTCTGGACTCTCTGTTCCAAGTCACTGGTCCATGTCTGTTTTTATGTCAGAATCCTGCTGTTTTGGTCATTATAGATTTGCAATGTCGTTTCAAGTCCTGTACTGACATGTATCCAGCGTTACTTCTTTTGGCTAAGATTGCTCTGAGGTCTTTTGCAGTTCCATACAAATTTCAGATGGCTTTGTCTATTTCTGTCAAGAATGATGTTGGAATTCTGATACACATTGCATTTAATCTGTAGATCCCTTTGGGAAGTGTGATCATTTTAACAATATCAATTCTTTCAACTCAAGAACACAAGGTATCTTTCCATCTTTTGGAATCTTCCTCAATTGCTTCCATCAGTGCTTTACGGTTTTCGTTATAGAAGCTTTTCATCTCTTCGGTTAAATTTATTTCTGGGTATTTTTTAAACTATTGTAAATGAAATTTTCTTTTTCAGATCTTTCACTTTTAACATATGAAAATGATACTGGTTTTGTATGCTGATTTTTGTCTCCTGTAACTCTACTGAATAGTTTTTTTGTTTGTTTGTTTGTTTTTAGTGAAGTCTTAAGGATTTTCTACATGTAAGAACATGTCATCTACAAACAGGAACAATTTAACTTCCTTCTTCCCAATTTGCATGCCCTTTAATTCTTTGTCTTGCCAATTGCTCTGGCTAAGGCTTCTAGTCTATGCTGAATAGAAGTGGTAAAAATGGGCATCCTGGAAGATTTTAGAGGAAAACTTTTCCCATTCAGTGTAATGTTAACTGTGGGTTTGTCATATGGCCTTTGTTGTGTTGGTACATTCTTTCTGTACCTCGTTTGTTGAGTTTTTGTTGTGAAGAGATGTTGAATTTTGGCAAATATTTTTCTGCAACTAGAGCAATGATTATATTTTTTATTATTTTAACAGAATTATAATGTGATGTGCCACATTGTTTGCCTATATTGAACTATTCCTGTGTCCCTGTCATGAATTACATTTGGTCATGGTGAATGATGTTTTAATGTGCTGTTAAATTTGGTTTAGTAGCATTTTGTTAAGGGTTTTTTCATCCTAATACATCAGGTACATTGACTTG